CAAGATTTAATGTGGGATAGCACAAAAGAAGGGGGAAGGAGGAGGGGCTGATTGATGGGGCCAAGAACAGATTTAGGAGCTGAACTATGACCCCCTATGCAACTTGAAGCAAGTATTTAAGCATAAAAATTATAAACATTTGTTGCCAAGTTATGTTGTAGGAGCCCGGTTGTTTGTTCCTGGCTACCCAGACTCAACCACACAGAAACAATATTAATTAAATCATTGTTTGGCATATTAGCTCTAACTTCTTTCTGTTTTTTTTTTTTTTTTTTTTTTTTTGTTGAAGACAGGGTTTCTCTGTAGCTAGGGAGCCTGTCCTGGAACTAGCTCTTGTAGACCACACCGGCCTTGAACCCACAAAGATCCGCCTGCCTTTGCCTCCCAAGTGCTAGGATTAAAGGCGTGCACCGCTATTGCCTGGTTTAGCTCTAACTTCTTACTGGTTTGCTCTTAAATCTTAATTTAACCCATTTTTATTAATCTGTGTATTGCCATGTGGCTGTGGCTTACCTGCAAGGTTCAGCACGTCTGTCCCTGGCAGGGGCTTTATGGCTTTTCTCTGACTTCTGCTTCTCTCTCCCACCATTCAGTTTAGTTTTCCCTGCCTAGCTCTACTCTGCCCTATCACAGGCCAAGGCAGCTTCTTTATTCGTTAACCAATAAAAGCAACACATATACAGAAGGACTTCCCACACCAAAGTTATAGTTACAATTTTCACCAATCAGGATATAGAAATTGGGGCTTCATTGAATGTTCCAACATTGTCAGTCGATACACAATGTAAGCCTTTCAGTCGAACCAATCAGATTCATTTGTTCTTTCTGTTGTTAGGGACAGACATATGTTTCTAAACATGTTTAGAAATAAAGATGCGGGCCGGAGAGATGGCTCAGAGGTTAAGAGCACTGACTGCTCTTCCAGAGAACCAGGGTTCAATTCCCAGCACCCATGTGGCAGCTCACACCTGTCTGTAACTTCAGTGACAGGAAATCCAGAATTCATAATAAAACACCAATGCATATAAAATTTAGAGAAGAGGAGAGGAGGAGAGGGGAGAAACAGGAGGAAAAGTACTCAGGAAAAGAACTAAAAGCACATCCAAAATCACAGATGTGACCTCAATAGAAATAAAGATGCATAATGACTTTGTCTATGGTTTAAGGAGGAGGTAGGTCAGCTATTGGGAAGTTCTCAGCTTTCCTAGGGCTTGGGAATCTGAACTTTGTTTTACCATACAGGAAATGTGGAGTCTGCAGTCAGAATGGCTGTATTTAGGACAAGGTGGTTTTGCCTGCTTCCAACACTGAAATTTTTTTTTTATATTTATTTATTTATTATGTATACAATTTTATGTCTGTGTGTATGTCTGCAGGCCAGAAGAGGGCACCAGACCCCATTACAGACGGTTGTGAGCCACCATGTGGTTGCTGGGAATTGAACTCAGGACCTTTGGAAGAGCAGGCAATGCTCCCAACCTCTGAGCCATCTCTCCAGCCCCCTTTTTTTTTTTTTATTTTTATTTTTTTAAACACTGAAATATTTTAAGTAGTATCTTGTACTTGATAACAAATTGCAGAGTAATTTCTACAAGTCATGATTACACTTGATTTTCCTTTTGTTCTTTTAAGATAGGAACTTTTTCAAAATGATATGATCTATTCATATCATTCCAAAGGATTGCTTTTTTTTTTTTGAGGCCAGGCTTCTGTGTGGCCCTGGCTGTCCTGGAACTCCTCTGTAATCCAGGCTTGACCTTATACTCAGAGATCCACTTTATTCTGCCTCCCTCCCAAGTGCAGGGATTAAAGGTATGCACCACAACCATCACCACCACAAGGCTCTTCAGTTTTCTCTTCTCTTCCTTCTTTTCTCTCTCTCTTTTGGATTTTCAGAGACAGGGTTTCTCTGTGTAAGAGCCCTGGCCCTGGCTGTCCTGCAACTCACTTTGTAGACCAGGCTGGCCTGGAACTCACAGAGATCTGCCTGCCTCTGCTGGGATTACAGGCATGCATTCTCTCTTTCTTTTTAAATTGTTTTTGAGACAGGGTCTCTATGTGACCCTGGGTATTCTGAAACGTACTGTGTAGAATAGGCTGGCCTTCAGTTTACAGAGATCCCCTGTCTAAGGCATGTGGATGTATGACAGTGAAGGAGTGCTAGTGGTTTAGTTTTACCAACTGCTTATTTTAAAAACATTTTTTATTGGGCTGGAGAGATGGTTCAGCGGTTAAGAGCATTGCCTGTTCTTCCAAAGGTCCGGAGTTCAATTCCCAGCAACCACATGGTGGCTCACAACCATCTGTAATGAGGTCTGGTGCCCTCTTCTGGCCTTCAGGCATATACACAGACAAAATATTGTGTATATAATAAATCAATAAATATTTAACAAAAAAAAGAAAAATCTAAAAAAAAACATTTTTTATTAATTTTTATTGAGCTCTACATTTTTCTCTGCTCCCCTCCCTGCCTCTCCTCTCCCCCTTCAATCCTCCCCCAAGGTCCCCATTTTCTCCCAATTTACTCAGGAGATCTTGTCTTTTTATACTTTCTACTTCCCATGTAGATTAGATCTATGTAAGTCTCTCAGTGTCCACATTGTTGTCTAAGTTCTCTGGGATTGTGGTTTGTAGGCTGGTTTTCTTTGCTCTGTGTTTAAAAACCACCTATGAATGAGTACACGTGATAATTGTCTTTCTGTATCTGGGTTACCTCACTCAAAATAATGTTTTCTACCTCCATCCATTTTCCTGCAAAATTCAAGCTGTTGTTATTTTTTCCTGCTGGTAGTACTCCATTGTGTAAATGTACCACATTTTTCTTATCCATTTGTCGATCTAGGGGCATTTAGGTTGTTTCCAGGTTCTGGTTATGACAAACAAAGATGCTATGAACTTAGTTGGGCACATGTCCTTGTGGCACAATTGGGCATCCTTTGGATATATACCCAAAAGTGGTATTACTGGGTCTTGAAGAAGGTTGTTTCCTAATTTTCTGAGAAATCGCCACACTGACATCCAAAGGGGTTGTACCAGTTTGCATTCCCACCAGCAATGCAGAAGTGTTCCCTTTTCCCCACAACCTCTCTAGAATAAGTTGTCATCAGTGTTTTTGATCTTGGCCATTCTTACAGGTGCAATATGGAATCTCAGAGTTGTTTTGATTTGCATTTCTCTGATGACTAAGGATGTTGAACATTTCCTTAAGTGTCTTTCAGCCATTTTAGATTCCTCTTTTGAGAGTTCTTTGTTTAGGTCCGTACTCCATTTTTTTTTATTGGATTATGTGTTCTTTTGGTGTCCAATTTCTTGAGTTCTTTGTATATTTTGGAGATCAGACCTCTGTGTGATGTGGGGTTAGTGAAGATATTTTCCCATTCTGTAGGCTGTTGTTTTGTCTTGTTGACCGTGTCCTTTGCTTTACAGAAGCTTTTCAGTTTCAGGAGGTCTCATTTATTGTTTATCTCAGTGTCTGTGCTGCTGGGGTTCTATTTAGGAAGTGGTTCCCTGTGCCAATGCATTCAAGTGTACTTCCCACTTTCTCTTATTAGGTTCAGTGTGGCTGGCTTTATGTTGAGGTCTTTGATCCATTTGGACTTGAGTTTTGTGCATGTTGATAGATATGGCTCTATTTTCATTCTTCTACACGTTGATATCCAGTTATGCCAGCACCACTTGTTAAATATGCTTTCTTTTTTCCATTTGATATTTTTTGCTTCTTTATCAAAGATCAGGTGTTCGTGGCTGGAGAGATGGCTCAGAGGTTAAGAGCACTGACTGCTCTTCCAGAGGTCCTGAGTTCAGTTCCCAGCAACCACATGGTGGTTCACAACCTTCTATGATGAGATATAGTGCCCTCTTCTGACATGCAAGTGTACATGCAGACAGATACTGCATACATAATAAATAAATAAATAAATAAATAAACAAACAAACAAATCTTTACTATAAAAAGATCAGGTGTTCCAATATGTGTGGACTGATATCTGGGTCCTCTTTTTTTTTTAAAAGTTTATTTAGTGTGTATACAGTGTTTTGCCTGCACGTATGCCTGCAGGCCAGATGAGGGCACCAGATCTCATTACGAATTGTTGTGAGCCATCATGTGGTTGCTGAGAATTGAACTCAGGATCTCTGGAAGAGCAGCCAGTGCTCTTAACTGCTGAGCCATCTCTCCAGCCTGGTATCCGGGCCTTCTTTTCGGTTCCATTGGTCCTCCCAGGCTGATCGTGATCTGGTCCTCCTGTGTCTAATTATTGGTGGCTAGGATTGTAGATGTGTTCCACTGTGCCCAGTTTATACAATGTCAAGGATCAGAGGAACATGTATGCTAAGCAACCACTCTTAACAACTGAGCTATATCCCCAGCCATAATCTGTGATAATCTTAAGTAAACTCACCCTTTTTGATATTTGTTCAAATTCCTGTTTTGTTTATTTTGCTTTCTTTTTGGGACATAATTGATACCATTAAAACACCAAGTATTAAATAAATTTTAATTTTCCATATTTTAGTGGACACTGACATTCTTTTGTTCTTGCTGTGATGATGTTTATTGAGCCCCTACTTTGTGCTAAGAGATGTGCTAAGCTCTCTCACTCCAGCTGTAGCTCTGGTACATGCTCTTATCTTCATTTCTGTACTAATTGTTAGAACTAGGATTTATTATGTGCGAGGCCAGCCTAGTCTCCAGGACAGGCTCCAAAGCTACAGAGAAACCCTGTCTTGATAAACAAAACAAAACAACAACAAAAACAAACAACAACAACAAAAAAAACTAGGATTTAAAATCAAACTAATTTTTGAGTCTAATTTGGGATGTGGGAGTGTTATTAGAAATTGAACCCAGTATTTTGCTCACCTAGGCAAAAACTGAGTCACACACCCCCGCCTGAAGTCTAAATCCTCTCATATGATATATTTGATTTTTAATATTTTGAGTCAGCTTGGAGTAATTAAAAAACTAATAATTCTTTCTCCCCCTTTTGTGTTCTCTTTAGGCTTCTGTCAGGATGAATTGGCAGAACTTGATCCAGGCACTAGTAAGTTCTTAATGTTCCCTGGTGTCTGTTGGTAAGAAAAGGTGTGGCTGTGCTGGGTGTTTAACTTTGGCATCTTTGATGTTGTTATTTGAAGAGTGTATCTTCTCTTAACAGTAAGGATGATAATCTTTCTTGTGACATTTTCTTTTTCATTTGCTAGTACTGTTTGATGGCCGGATCTATGCATTTAATAAAATGTTGTTTTCTGAAAATTTTGTTTAAAACAGACCCCCCTTGCTCAGTTCTCCATCCTCCTGTGAAACAAGCAGCAAACAGTGTTGGATTTGTACATATGCAACTGTATATTCAAAACTACCCACTTTAATCCCTTCCTTCCTCTTCCTTCCTTTTTCCAAGACACAGGGTCTCTCTATGTAGCAATGGCTGTGCTGGAACTTACTGGTAGACCAGGCTGGCCTTGAACTCACTGAGATCCTCTTTTCTATGCCTCCTGGGTACTGGGATTAAAAGTGTGAGCCAGTATACTGAGCAAAAACATTTGAAGAAGTAATTGTCATAGTTTATTCAAAGGAGTTATATATTGAGGGATGTGCCAGTCTTTGGTCACAGTTTTATGGTCCAGTTCCTTATGACAGAGGTGATAATGGCTGCTGGAGTAGATCTGGTTTTGCAGCAGGAGTGTGAAGCAGTCATACTTATGTCTGTATTCAAGAAGGAGATGAGACAGGAATGCTAGTGCTCAGTGCTCTTTGTACATTTACTGAGTTTGGGTCCCCAGCATGTCGGATTGTGCTGCCCACATTAAGGGTTGGTTTACTCTCAGTTAAAGCCTTCTGTAAGTGTCCTCTCAGACATGCAGAAGTTTGTCCCTTAAGTGGTTATGGTTATAGATCCTTCAAGTTAGCAATGAAGGTCAACTGTCACAATTGAGGTCAAGCATTACAGAGGCCAGATTGTTTTCTCCCCTGTTCCTTCTTTCCTCTTGTTCTATCCTCTTCTCCCTTCCATTTTCTCCTTTCCTCTCCCTCCTCTATCTTCCCCTTCTCTTTCCCTCCTGTTCTCTCCTCCCTTCCCTTCACTTCCTCCTTCCCTCCTCTTCATTTTTTTCCCTCCCTCCCTCCCTCCCTCCCTCCCTCCCTCCCTCCCTCCCTCTCTCTCTGTGTATACATATACCTGTGTTTGGGCATGTGGACTCACATGGCTGTACTTGCACTTGCAGGCCAATTGGTTGCAATTTGCTATTTGCTACTCACATAATGATAATAGTAATAATAATAATTATTATTATATCTTTATAATAATGATAATTATTACTACAGGAATTCTCACTGATCCTGAAGTAAGCTCTAAAGTGTTGTGGGATCTGCGGGCCTGCTTTTCATCCCGCCCGGCTCCCGCACGGCTAGCTTTACACCAGAAATAACAACACACAAACTGTATTCTTTTAAACACTGCTTGGCCCATTATCTCTAGCCTCTTCTTGGCTAACTCTCGCACCTGGACTAGCCCATTTCTAATAATGTGTGTAGCACCCCAAGGTGCGCTTACCGGGAAGATTCTAGCCTACGTCCATCCTGGGTCGGAGCTTCATCGCGTCTGCCCCAGAGAGGAGAGCTATCAAGTCTGAGCTCACTTCCTCTTCCTCCCAGCATTCTGTTCTGTTTACTCCACCCACCTATGTTCTAAGCTATGAGGCCAAGCAGTTTCTTTATTACTTAAGCAATGAAATCAACAGATTGATATATGACACTCCCACATCACTCCCATTTCCCCAACACTAGTATCGTGGGCACACACTGTACTACCATGCTTGACTTTTATGTGGTGTTAGGGAACACTTTACCTACTGAACCTCCTTGATGCCCTCATTTCTTGATATTTTCTTTTTCTTTGAGATAGGGTCTTATAGTTCAGGTTAGCCTCAAATTCAGTGTGTATGTATGTAGCCTCAAATTCAGATAATTATTTTAAATTTCAGATTCGCCTGCCTGTGTCTCCTGGGTGCTGGAATTACAAATGTGTGCCATATAAATGCCTAGCTTTATGTTTTGTTAGAAATTTATAGTTGATAATCTTTTTTCCAGTTTAATTTGTAAAGCATTTGTATGTATATTATTAAGATGAGGGAATGAGAGTGACCATTTCTAGTTCAATGATGTTTTTCAAGACTCAGTAAGTTTTGATAAAAACTATTTAAATTTCCTGTGCTCCCAATTTGTGGCATGAAATATTCTGGGACATGGTTATAGTTGTTAAAGAAATAAAACATGAGTGTCTGCTGTGTATTAACTTTATTTTGCTATATGTTAAAAGGTCACATGATAATTTAGATTTAACATTTATGAGACAGTCTAGAGTTACCTTCTCCTAGAACTTTTAAAGGGTCCTGGGGCTAACTGACCAGTATGTTATTAAGTAAATAATGAAGCTTATCTTTCACCCATGAGCTAATATCATCCCTGAAAATATGGACCTTTTTATATATTTTCCCCTATACCTTAAAATAAGTATATATGTTATATATATAACATATATAAGTTCATATATGTTCAACTATTACTTTATTGTCAAGCAAAATAAGTCCATGATATTTATCAAATGGCAGGGAATTAGATTTGCTTTTTAAAAAAAATTAATTAATTGTGTCTATAGTGGGTTGTGCGTGCCACAACATGCATGTGGCTATCAGAGGACAACTTGTGGGAGTTAGTTAGTTCTCGCCTTCTACCATGTGAATTCTAGGGGTCAAACTTACGTTTGGTAGCTCAGCAGTCCTAGACATGGCTCTTTGAAATTCACGAAAGTCAGCATCGGTTTTATATTATGACCACACACTTAGGGTCAGCACACTGTTTTGACTCTTGTCATTTTCTTATGATTAACCTTGGGAGGAAGAAAAGCTAACTTCAGTTATTTTCTTGAGTCATGGTCCTGTCAATCACTTAGAAGGTACTAAGAGATTCTGCAAGCAGTCTTTTGTGTGACTATGCAGAAAGCACACCAAATAATTTAAAGCTGAATGAAACACTGTGCTTTTCTTTGCTCCAGGCCTAGTTCTTAGCCTCAGATTGCACAAATGATTACCTTTAGTTCTTGCCTTCACATATTAGGAATATATTAAAGATATTTGGAAAGATAGTTTTCAGACTTTGAAATAGCATCCAATTCTGCATTTACTAAAAGCCCATGCCATTTATTGAGAGATTGTAGATTAAGTAATCCTACTTCTGTTACATATTTGCTCCCTTACTGAATATGGTGGTTTTTACAGACTTCTCCATTTCGTGAGAGTAGACATGATTTTTTGGGTTTTTTGTTTTGAGACCAGGTCTTTCTGTGTAACAGATCTGACTGTCTTGAATTATAGAGCAGTCTGGCTTTGAATTCACAGAGATCCACCTGCCTCTTCCTCCTTAGTGCTGGGATTAAAGGCGTGCACCACCAGCGCCTGGCGAGTAAACATGATTTTATATATCACTGTAGAATGGGAGTCACCTAAAATGACTTTTCTTTTAAAGGTACTTTAAAATGTACTTCGTGTATATGGGTAATATTCTCAGTTCCTACATCATTTTTGTGAAGCTAGTACTTTTCTTTTGCTCTTTATCTTTGAAAAACATGTAAGGATCTAATTATATAATCGATTGACAAAAGTAAAATTATGATCTCAGTCTGTATTAGTTTTGGGCCTTGACTCTGACATATTAAGAAGCTGTAAGATTGAAATGGGTGGGCCTGGAGAGATGACTCAGGTTAAGAACACTGATTGCTCTTCCGGAGGTCCTGAGTTCAGTTCCTAGCACATGATGGCTCAGACCTTTTTGTAATGAGATCTGGTGCCCTCTTCTGGCATGCAGGCAGAATACTGTATACATAATAAATAAATCTTAAAAAATAAAATTGAGATGGACTGTGTATTCGATTGTGATGTTTTATTTTCCTTTTTTTTAAAGACAGGGTCTCTCTTTGTACCCTGAATTGTCTTGAATTCACTATGTAGTACAGTCTGGCCTCAAATTCAAAAGTAATCCTTCCCCTTCCCCCGAATGCTTGGATTATAGGTGTGTCCTACCAGATTTCACCTGATGATAATGATGGTGGTAGTGATGGTGATGATAATGATTATGATGTTATTATGATTTATTTTTATTTTTAATTATGTGCATGCATCTGTGTATACCTGCATGTCAGTGTGGTGGCCATGAAGGTCAGTTGAATCCCTTGGAGTAGCTAGAATACTTATAGGCGATTGTGAGTCACCTCACGTGGGTGCTGAATATTTAACTCAGGTCCTCTGTAAATGTAGGAAGCATCTAAATCATCTTCCAGGCCCCTGGTTAGTATTGTTGATACAGCAGTTTCTGTGGATTCTAACTAGAAGGAATAATATTTTCTATGTTACTATCTTTAAATATTAGATTGAGAATATTAGAGCTTTCTCTTTATTGTATCTCTGGAATTTAGGGATGCTAATGTCTTCCCACTGTGAATTCCTAGTGGGAAAAGTCAGTTTCTATTTTATTGTGACAGCCCACCTTTACAGTTGATTTCTAGTTGTGCTTGGCAGTGGTTCTAGATAGCAGATTTGGGACAACAGATGGGATGTTGGAATGTTGGAATGTTAGGGGAGGTCTTACTCTATCTGCCAGGTGTTGTTTTACCTTTTCTGTGGTAGAGCAGATGGGCAGCCATGCTTCAAATATGAGCTGGTGTTCACATTCTGGCTCCTTCCTACAATTCCTGAACTTCCTAGAGTCCAATGTTATGACCCAGGTTCAGGCTAAGTTCATTTATACAAGAAGTGCCCTGTACTGTGTCCTTTGCATAAGCCTGGGTACAAGGGCAGTCAGAGGTCAAGAGAAGTTCAAAACAGCATAACCTTTCTGTGCTATTTCCAAATAACCCCAGTCTGCATAGCTCCCTGAGTTTTCCCTCAGCTGCTGTGTTTGCCGTGTAGTTGTAAAACTCAAAAGAACAAGGGCTGACTTGATAACAAGGAAAATTAGAGAAAAGAAGTCATTGTTGCCTAATACAGGAGA